GAGGCAAAAAGTGTGGGGTTGCCACCCATCAGCTTGCCTCGGGTACTTGAATGAGAACTAAGTTGGTCAATAAAGGTCTTTCCCTGCTCCCTTCCGACACGCATTCTGGACCGCAGAAAAGGAAAGTAGCTTCTAGATCCATCTTTTTTAGCTTTTTACCAAAAGATGTGGTTTGATGAGTCAACAGTGTGATGCAGCAGCAAAAAAAGCTAACGCTATTCAGATCAAGGGAATTAATAGTAGCACTCTATTCTGCCTTGGTCAGACCACACCTGGACTATTGTGTCCTGTTCTGAGCACCACAATTTAGGAAGGATGCTAACAAGCTGGAACATGTGCATAGGAGGGGGAACTATGATGATCGAGGGTCTGGATACCAAGCCTTAGAACGAGCGCTTGAAGGAGCTGGGTAAGTTTAGCCTGGAAAAGAGAGAAGATATGATAGCCATCTTCAAATATCTTAAGGGCTGTCACATGGAAGGGGGAACAAGCCTGCTCTGGAGGGTAGGACTCGAACCAATGGCTTCAAGTTGCAAGAAAGGTGATTCTGACTAAACACACAGAAAAACTTTCCAACAGTAAGAGCTGTTTGACAGTGGAACAGTCTCCCTTGGGAAGTTGTGGACTCCCCTTCCTTGGAGGTTTTTAAGCAGAGATTAGATGGCCATCTGTCATGGATGCTTTAGCTGTAATTCCTCCATTGCAGGAGTTTTGACTAGATGACCCTTGGGTCCCTTTAGATACTATGATACTGGACCTTTCCTGAGAACTCCTGCAGCAGCCAGTAGCTCAGCTTGGGTTAGATCTTGGAGCTGAAATTCAGAGCCACACAACAGAGGGCCTCAAAAAATGATCACCCACAGATGATGGGGAAAGCAACAATCAGGGCCGGTATATGCACTTGGGTACCCGCAAGAGTCACAGTATCATTCCATTATTATTATTATTAAACATTTTACATTTGAGGCCACATGCCTGTATGGAATTGTGGTTAGAATGTTGGACTAGGACCTGGGAGACAAACTGACACACAGCCTAGATGCTCACTGGGTGTCCCTGAGCTACTCATTGCCTCTCAGGCTAATCTACGTCACATGGCTGCTGCAGGGATTAAATGAGGAGGGGGAGAACCATCTACACCTCCCTGGAGGGGGGGGGAATGGAATATAACCGCATTAAAAAAATGTACACCACCACAAAAGTCCTTGTCCCCACTCCTCTCCCTGCCATAACAGTGTGTGTGTATATATATATATATATATATATATGAGAAATTAGATGTCATCATACACAGTTCGATATCACATGAAGTAGTCCAAAATTTGAGCTTTAATGGCAAAAGAAAGGAGGGAACCAAGCCAAAATAGAAACTCAACAAAGAAAAAGAAAATAGAAGCAGTTTTCATGAGTAAACTTTTTAATCCTTGACATTGCCACAAAAAAGTTGGAAGAACTATTTGCCCACCTTCTTTACAGAAGAATATCCCAGAGAAGGAGACTAGGCCTTATTTAGCAATACACAATCCTCCCTGTTTTCCACATCTATCCTAAGAACAGACTATTCCCCAACTCCCAGTGTTTTGTCTCTCTCTCTTACAGAAGGGAGGTGAAGCCTGTACTTCAGAGAGGTTAAAATATGCCAAACCATTTACAGTTTTTAAACATCAAGTAAACTTTTAGAAGTTAACACATTAACTAAAAAATATCACCTGGCCAAACCATACAATTTGCTTTTGTGTTTTTTTTGCTTTTGTTTTTTTTAAAAAGGACTAAAACATGTAAGAGTATGTAATACCCATGAACAATGGTGCTCTTCAACACTTAAAAGAGCATATTAAAGATTAAAGGTCAATCCAGCCCCACCAACATTGGCAATATTAATTATTTTCATTCTTTTAAAAAAGATACAGCGTACGCACAAAAAACCCTTTTCATTCCATTGCAATACTTCAATCGCCTAATGCATAGAAAAAGTAGATTTAGTGTGTATATATGTGTGTGTGTGTGTGTGAGAGAGAGAGAGAGAGAGAGGAGTGTGGTGGCATCAAATTCACAGCCCTCTGATGTGCAGCACAGTTGATTGCTTCAATTTCTTTTTACTCATAACATGGTATTGATGTGCCCAGAGCAGGAATATATGTTCCTAATGTGAACCATTACAAGTCAAGTATAAAGCACCATTTTCTCAGGGGAGTGGGGAGCCCCTAATTTTCCACCCTTCCAGCAATCGAAAGAAACTCTTTGCTGGAAGCCAGTTCTGAATACAGGAAGAAGCAACAGGGAATGCAAAGCATGTCCTGGAGACAGATGTGCAAGGGGCTCCCTTTTTTCACATATGCAAAAAATGTGCTCACATGCACATGCTGAGCTGAAACAGACCAAGCAGCTGGAAATGCTCAGCCTTAGAGGATTCCGTAACTGCAGACTTTTAAGCTATTTTTTTTCCAAAGCTTTAAACACACACACACAACAGAACTCAAGTGTCAGAACTGAAACTAAATGCACATTTTCCATTTGTCAACTTCAAGGATTATTCCAGACCAGCTTTCCCCTTAAAAATAGGCCATTCCATACTATTTTGTAGATACTAAACAGGCATCTTAAAGCCAGATCCACCCATGCTTCCTGCAAAAGCTTTACAGATGCAAGTTCAAGACAGACACTTCACTCACCCTCTTCATCCCTAATATCATATACTCACATTGCTAAATGTTAGTAACTACCCCACTGATTGCGAGCTTGCAACTTGGCAAGTTATAGGCTGCAGTTTAAGTGAATCCTGTTACCACAGAAGAGTTTAAGTGTAAGCTGCTAGATGACCTAAAACCAGAAGATGATTCCACTTTTAGTCTCCTGACTGCATGTTTGAGTATTCTCCCACAAAAAAATAAATTTAAAAAATCTCTTTATAAAGAAGAAAAGATTAACCCCTACTTCTGACATGCTAATATTTGTGATTGTGGGAGAAGCATTCAGACATGGAAGTCATCATTGCAGCCTGAAATGATACATGCTTGGAGCAGCATTACCCAAATGGATCATCCCGATTGTGACAAACTTGTCCTTATGCTCTGGACTGACTTCTACTCTGCCAAGTACAACAATACAGATATGCAGACATGTAATTGGGTACTATTACATAATTTATAATATTGCATATTTGTCTATTGTTTTCCTGGGTAAGTTTTAAGTCAGATGGGTTGGGAAGCCTGTTTAAGCAAGGACTGCTCTAAATTTAAATGTATGCATGAAGAAAAAGCTGTTATTTCGCTTCTCAAACACCATGATATTTCCATGGCAGTAAGCTGCTTCTTACACTCTATTGACGATAGTTGCCAGATTTGTGGTCCAGCACACCAGCAACAATTCTTTAAGTGTAACATCTGGAGAGTTTAAGTTAAGACAACAAGCAGTAATCAACTAAAAACATTCTTCTGTCCTGTATATGTCTTCACCCTTTTCTTTCAGAATGAAATCCTGCAGTAATTCTGATTTCCCAAAAGGTAATGTATTTTACATTGTGCAGTATTGCCTTTTGGTCTTTCCAATGCCAGCACACGCTTAACATTATTTCGGGAAATGAAAGCACCATATATTCTAAGAATACAACTTGACATCAGGCTGGGCTTGGGAATCTGTTTCAAACTTACTGATAACATAGAGACCACTTCCCCGTAGCAGTTTCCCATGTTGGACTGGAGATATGTAGGAGAGGTGGAAAGGACCTAAAATAGTGTTGCAGGCCAAACTGCAGTGGATAGACATAGCATGTGTTCTTCCCACCCTACTCTCCTGCATCTTCAAGTCAGGGAAGTGGATACAGTTGTACCTTGGTTCTCGTACTTAATCCGTTCCAGGAATCCATTCGACTCCCGAAACTGTTCGAAACGTCCTGCACTCAATCGGAAGCCGTGTCGGACGTATAGCTTTCGAAAACTTCTGGGTTTTTGGCGTTCGGGAGCCAAAACGTCCGAGTTCCAAGGCGTTCAAGAACCAAGGTTTGACTGTACAGGGAAATGGCTCCTGCGCCACTAACAGGATGTGTGGACAGGGTCCCCAGGTCACGAACCCAGATTTAAATCTACCAAGCCATGTTTAGGATGCAGTCTAGAGCATCCAGTCAATTGACTGCATCAAGGTTTAAGGGCACTCCACTTAAAATTTTCCTATGGCTACAAGTGAGCAGGCGCACATTATGTTAGGTTGGCGTTTTGGGGTGGGGTGGGGAATAAGTTTCTCTTACAAATGGTTTGGATGTGGTTAGTAAACCATAACACTTTGGAAGCTCTACGTTTTTAAAGCCAGGAGTGAAAGAACGACGTTTTTACACACTTAAAAGTGACAAATCCTTTTGTAATACCTTTGACCCACCCTTAAAGGACACTCGGGTAGGCAAACATCCTGGATTAGCCTGTTGGCTTTCTCTTTGGGTGAGTTCCCACATTACTGTTTTAGGGTATGGGAAGTTAATGTGTTGCACCATGCCCCATTATTACAAAAAGGAAGACTGTGCTCTTGGCATTATTAAATCTACCAGCACACTGATGTTTTTAAAAAGCAAACTTACATTGTAAAAATGTACAATGCCAAGCATCATCTAGTCTAGTGTATTGCTGAACGGCGGCATTGCTAATTTAGCAACATAATTCCAGAAAAGGAGGGGGGGCTGAGGAAGCAACTTATTTCTACATCCTACCCTGCTCAAGGCTGCCTTGATCCAACTGTTACAATCTGCAGGATAATTTGCAAAGTAGAAATGTATTCATGCACAGATAATTTCAAAGGCAATTCCTGATTTCAAAGGCAATTCCTATTATTTGTACTGCTTTGTGTGTAATTCTAAGTCAAAAGGAAAGCTTAAAAATGCTTAGAATAAGATGCGCAATTCTACCACCGTGCCTATCATATAGGCGGAGACAAAAACAACAACTTTCCTCTATGTGTAATGAAAAGAACGCAGGAGATATAAGAATAAGGGGAGGTCCAATCAAAATTTTAAAAAAAAATAAGTTCTACTGACAGCACCAGCAACTAAAAGTTATTGACCTTGCTTGGATTGTGCCCATTCTGTACAACTATCTAGAGACCACGTTTATGGTCTAGGTAAGGAATAACAAGTCTCCAGTGTAACTGAGCTGTAAGTAGGGGACAGCAAATGTCAACAATTGGTGGGGTTGCTCTAAAATATTACCTCCACTTCTCTCCCAATGGCTGTTAAAAAAGAAAAGAAAGACTTGCATGAACACATTCGCTTCGTAAAACAAGGTCCAGGATTACTATTATTTTGATCTCAAAAGTCCAACGGATAGCAAAACAAGAAGGTGGACTGTCTTGCTATCGCTCTGGTCCCAAGACTGAAAAGCAAATGTATCTAAGGGGAGGAGAAGAGAGCAGAGCCCCAGGGATTCCAGGAAAGCAAAAGACCTGACCAAAAATAAGAGATTGCTCCCATTTATCTCACCACCACCACAAATAAAAAGGGTACATTTCAACTGCGCTGATTGGGCATTGCAGGACTCAGGAGCAAATGTTGCAAGAAAGGGCAGGGTATCACAAGTCGCCCCTGACAACTGGATGGGCCAGGCCAAATCCAGCTGTGATCTTTTTTGACAGCCATGTTGATTGAAGGGCAATGCAACCAATCCCCTTAGCAAGACCATGTAGACACAGCCCCAACTGTCCTCCACTGTACCACTTGGGTGGAGTGGATAACTACTGCTGCCCATCTATTTTTCAAGAAGGAGCTTGCCTAGCAACTTTTTGCACCCACCCTGTAGTCCTACTTCACCCCACAAACAATAGCTCTCAATATATTTGAACAGCGCAATTACTGCCACACAGTGTAGACTCCCCCTACTTTATTCAATGCCATTAGAATCCTTCAGTCCAATGATGATGTCATTAAGTCAAAAACATGATGAAGCAGGGGCAGACTAATCATGAATGAATTGCTTGTTCCACACTGGATATTGAAGGAAAAGAAAAGGAAAAAAAGACACTGACCTGCTCATAAACTGTGAAAAACGTTTTACAAATCAAAAATATACACCAGAGCATCTGATGTAAAAAGAGTAACCAACTCCCTGCTATGAGGGAACAATGAAACAATAACTGTACGGTCAGTATTGCAGATTTAATTTCCCCCTCCTTTCTTACAGGCTGCGAGTATTCAGGCCAGTTAAATGCCTCAAAAAACACCCTCAGTTTTTGAATCGTGTTTGTTCACAGATGTGATTGAATTTCCTGGAACAACAAAAGACTTGAGTTAAAATTTTAAAAAACACAATAGAAAACAAGCAAACAACAGTTGATATGATTTTTTTGGCAAAGTTGTTGAGCTTCTTCTTCTTTGGGGGGGGTGAGTTTTTGAGTTATCAACGAACAAATCACAGCTATCTCAACATTTTATAATCTTGAGTGCTATCCCCCACCTTTTGTTTTAAGTGAAGGCTAGCATTTTTAGGGTGGTTAATGTCAAATTTAAAGAAAAACACTATCATCCCCACCCCACATGTGAACTGTTGAAACTGTTTATAGCCCCTGGGCAGATTTCTGGGCAGCTCATGTTATTATAATGTTCAAAGTGAGCTAGCACTGTGAAGTTTCATTCCCACATTAGATGGGAAGTTTTTGTTGTTGATAAATTAATATTAAAACATACTATATTCAAATTATTAGCTGTTTTGAAATAATGCACTGGTTTGAATGCAACACGAAACCATAGCATTGTGCTATGTGAATGAGTTTACCTGTAGTTTGCTCTGCAGTCCAAACTTAGGCAAATTGTGGTTAATGTTAACTATGATTAGTTAAACCACTGAGCCTCTTGGGCTTGCCGATCAGAAGGTCGGTGGTTTGAATCCCCGCAACGGGGTGAGCTCCCATTGCTTGGTCCCAGCTCCTGCCAACCTAGCAGTTCGAAAGCACGTCAAAGTGCAAGTAGATAAATAGGTACCACTCCGGCAGGAAGGTAAACTGCGTTTCTGTGCGCTGCTCTGGTTTCGCCAGAAGTGGCTTAGTCATGCAGGCCCCATGATCCAGAAAAACTGTCCGCAGACATACTTTGGCTCCTTCGGCCAGTAAAGCGAGATGAGCGCCGCAACCCCAGAGTCGTTCACTACTGGACTTAACTATGAGGGGTCCTTTACCTTTACCTTTAATTCAAAGTTGGCTTGTTTCCACTAATCACATTTAAAACTAACCACACTGAACAGTTAGTTCAGTGACATGATAAGCTGTGGTTAATCTAAGGCAGGAACTTTCTATCACCTTTTTGTATCTCTGCACTGGAAGACAGGAGAGCAGGCACGCAAGCCCAAGGAGACGCTAGTTTCATTCTTGCAACAGGGTTTAGTGCTATTCTTGCAACCAATATCTAATATCTACACAGGGCTGCCTTTGAAGAGTACTCTAAAACTTCTTTTGGTCCAGAATGCAGCTGCCAGAGTGCTGACTGGGCTTAGCTGCACAGAGCATATAATTCCAGTGCTGGAGTAACAGTTAGCATCATGGAGGAAAATGATCTCTCGTCAGAAGTATAGAAAAAGTTATGCATGCGTTTTTTTCTGGCGGAACCATTACCCTGACCCTGAAATACACACAGATTTAAGTTCCTATAGAAAAGTATCGAGGGGGTGAGGGTAGGTGCGGGGGCAACTCACATTGCATGGTGAGCTTTGACCTGAGTCCGGCAATTGCGCCCCCAATAGCAATCAGGGCGTGACGTGACAGCCACTGTAAGAAAAAAACCAACACATTTGATGCACAATTGACGTTAATTAAAAGCAGAGAGATTTGAGGGCGGGTGGGTGGGCGAATCAGTCAATCATTGTTGTTGTTCTAAAATAAGATGCGGACAATTATTTGGTAGCAAGTGCAAAGCTATGTAAGTAGATTATCAGTTGGGGGACCAAACCAAACAACAACAACATGTATAGGTGGAATTTTTTGAAATTTAAGAAGATATAATAGAAACAGCAACATGCAATATTTTAAAATATTGAAACTTAATGCTAGCATAGTGCATGCTAAGCTGTTACTGATGCATATGCACATGGGATAGTCTTGTCCTGGAATTTTAACACACACCATAAATATAGTCCCAATGCAGAACAAAATGAATAGTCCTCCAAAACATTTGTATTGTAGAAGAGAAATAATGGGAGATAATTACTGTAGGTCTCTTTTGCCCTTTGGTATAAGATTTAAAGATTCTCTCTACAATGAGGACAAATGACATACTTTCCAGCTCACATATGCGAGGGGGAAAGTTGTGAACATGGGTTGGGGTCTGGCAGTCCTCAGCCATCTAAAACTGCTCAAAGTACTGCTGCCTCTACCTGCCCTTCCCAACTTCAGAACAGTAGCAACTTTTTGTAGGTGTGACACAGCTAATTGCCAACCCAAAACACTGACTGACTGGCTACTGAATCACTCAGGAAATATAGATAGAATTATGTAACCAATGCTTCCAATTTTATTTAAAACTGATTTATTTCTAGAGTTGTTTGTTGGCTTTTGTTATAAACCAAGGGGAAAAGGTGGGGAATAAATGAATGGATGGGGAATAAATAAATGAATGAATGAGTGAGTGACAGTTTTGACAGTTTTTCCATACCTGGCAATTCAGCAACAGGAATATTCTGCCTGTACTGATAAGCAAGCTCTCGGAAGCTGCGGAGGCCACAACAGTAACAGAGAACAGTTTCTCCAGTAATGCGGTAATCTGGAGGGCAGAGGGGAATCAGAGTTGCAGATAGTCAGGGGCCAAAAAAGCCATTTCATGAAATATTCCAAGCAGGCAACAACTCGTCAAGGGTACATATGCTTGCTGTAAGTTATTTGAAAGGCCTTGATGAACTGAAAGGTGGTGAAAGGACCACAAAGATGGTGTCAGGCCAACATCTCTGGGAAGGCTATCCCATAACCAGAGTGCCACCACTGAAAAGGCCTTCTCTTCTGGCAGGTTAACCACAGTTACTTCACCTGGTGGAAATAGTTGTGGAGCAGAGTTTCTGAAGAGAATAGGATCAAGGTTGGGTTGGTACAAATGGGGTAGTGTAATTTGCTTCCCTGAAAGCGCACAACGCAGAAGACATGCCTCTGGAAAGCTCAAGTCAGAGAGAAAAGATGGGGCTTACCTGGTAAAATAAAAACTCCTCTTTGAAGAGCTAGGAGACTTTCGTTTAACATATTTTTCCATGTTAAACCCCTGGATGCCAGGTAATCCTCAGATGAGAGAAAAGGGTAGTCAGCAGCATGTAAAAGAGATGCACTAAACAACTTGACCCACCCCCGCCACCCCATGGAAAGCAGTAAAAATGTATTCTGCAAACTCGGTTTAAGCAGCTATATTCTCTCAACTGATATACTTTAAAACTGAATATACCTTTAGAATATCCGATTCATAGTTATTGCCATTAAGGACGCCATCTAAACACTTGTCACCAAGATTTATTTCTGTAAGGAAATTAAAAAGAGAGGGGAAATTATCTTTGCTCTGAAATACCCAAGAGGCGTCTTCTCTTTTCTCACCACAAGGATGACCTTCAATGCCTAGAGATCATGATTTCAAGCTCACAGAACTGGAATATTGGCTTCATTGAAGTCAGAAGTATTAGTTTCCATGTCAAGGGCTGGAAACTGGATGCATGGGAATCCCCTCCTGCAGAAGGTAACATGCTCAACAACCTAGGGCTAAAAAGTGTCTTATCAACTGCTACTAGCCACAATGGCTATGGTCTCCCTCCACAACTGGAAGCAGGAAGCCTCTGAATGCCAGTTGCTGGGAGTCACAAGTGGGAGAGTGCTGTTGTGCTCACGTCCTGCTTTTGGGCTTCCCATAGGCATTGGGATGGCCACATTGAGAACAAGATGGACCGGACAGACCACTGGCCTGATGCAGCAGGACTATTCTTAGGTTCTCAAAGAGGATGACACTGGAGTCCACATTAGAGATTGTGCATTGCAGCATAGTCAGACAGAGCTTAGAATGCATGAACAGAAATTGGAACATTACAAATGGAAGCCATTGTGGATCTCATTCATGGTTCTCTACACCCTAAGTCTTGAATCTACCCTGCTCAGGGTCTTCTGGGGAGCACAATTTAGCTTTGTTCAGGGGCCTCGATTTCCCAGAGACTGGAAGCCTCCACCTGCCTGCAGAAGTTGCCGTTCCAAGAATATTTATTAGTGTACGCTATGGGAATACCTGCTTCCAACCCTCTCACTTGCAGTGCTCTTTCCCACGTGGAGAAAGGCATCACTGTCAATGGTAAGCCACCTCTTCCTGCACAATTTGTCTGAACCAGGAACCTCCACAGGGGGACAGAGGCTTCTCTCCGTGGGGTGAGTTTAGTATTACAGTCTCAACCAGGACTGTGTTTTAGAATATGCCAAGGCCAACTTGGGTTGTGAGAAAACGCTTTGCGGTTGATTACATTTACCAAGGTATGTATCAAACAGCTTAAGAGAAATTTCATGTGTTTGCTAATGTTGCTGGGAGCCAAATTGTCTCAGCTTCTAATGGTCAGTGCTCCCAAATTCCTCAAGAGTTTTTGAGAAAATTCCATCAAAAGCAATTCTGCCAACAGCAAAAAAGAAAAAAGAAAAAAAAGACCTACCACAGAACGGTGCCAAGCAACCAAAACATGCCACTCGAGTGCAACCCCAGTACAAGTGACAGAAGGGTTGGAGACAGATGGTGCCTGTGAACACAGAGAGCAGAGAACATGTTGTGGCACCAGCCATTCAGAATATCAAGTAGTAAAGGACCCCAAATTCCCTATTAGTTATCAATGAACACAGTCCCATTATATCTGTTGCATACAGTGAGTATCTTCACTCTCACTCAGCCAGTCAACCACTACTTATAGGAAGTTGGGGGTGAGCATACGGGTAGCACCTCCCCAAAGTGACATCACTTCCTGATCAGCCAAGTAGAATAATTGGAAGCGGAAAGAGGGGAGGCAGAGGACCAGAAACAAAGGGAGGAGTAACTCCCTTAAGGATGGGGAAGTGGTGCTCTGCAGTGCTCTTCCTACAGCGGGAAGAAAAGGCGAAACTGCACTCACCCCACTGGTGAAAAAGGAAGGGCTTACACTCCCTCTTCAGTTCTTCATACTCCACACTCCCCCAGCTCCCTTTACATAAATTTATCCACAAGTAGCAGCCACCCACTATTTGAATCCCAAAGGAATTCATGCACTGCCATGTGAGGAGAAGGAATTGGGTGGCGATATCTATTTAAACATATAGACCAGGCACCCCCAACCTTCAGACCTCCAGATGTTTTAGACTACAATTCCCATCATCCCTGACCACTGGTCCTGTTAGTTGGGGATCATGGGAGTTGTAGGTCAAAACATCTGGAGGGCCGCAGGTTGGGGATGCCTGATATAGACTGTCCTGTTGCAAAGGTACACATCGTCATTAATATTTTTTAAAAAACAGAATACTTCCCAACCCTTAATTCTGCCCTCATGCCAAAACCCTCCAAAAGATAGCAGTTTGGAACAAACAGCAAAAATGCCTAACAGAGAAGGCAACCGACTGCTAGCTCACATTGCTGGGGGGCGATATGCGGATTCTGTTCCCGCTCTGCTCTGCGGTCCGGCATCGGCTGGAAACAGCAAGTGCATATCACGTGGCTTCCTTGAGAAGGACACACGTACTCCTGGACAGCTAGGTTGGGAGAAAACGACAGGGAGACATGGAAAGAGTTGGAATAAAAACAGGGCATGGACAATGAGCTTTATAGAATCTCAATGGTCAGGATCAGGACCAGGGGCCACCCAATCCAAGGTAAGTCAGACTTTTAGCGAACCCTTTCTGCATCAAGTGACAGCTCTGTGCAACTGGCACAAAAGCCCTGCTTGTTGCAGATTATTTGATTTTGATTGTTTAATTTCTATCTCGCTTAATATTTTAAAAACATCTCTAAGCCGTGTACAAAAAGCTGAAGCAAAAACAGTCAGCTTAAACAAAATATTACAAAAATACAAAGCTAGGGTAATATAAAGTTACTAATATATAACTATCAATTAATATAAATTCATTAGTCCATCTAGCTCAGTACTGTCTATGCTGAGTCCCAGCAGCAACCCAGATTTCAGATAGGGAATCCCTCCCAGTTGGTTCTAGAGATGCTGGGGACTGAACCTGGGACCGAGTCATGGCCCTTCCCTGTAGACTGATCCAGCTGTGTGCTTGAAAGGTAGACCTATGAAAAATCAATATAACACCCTCGGCAAAGAATGCCAAGATGCTCAAACATGACACTCTGGCTATATACACTTTTCCATGGGGAACAAGTCAACAGGTGATTACATCCTATCTGGCCTGGGGTGAGAGCCCATTGATAGTATTGCCCTATCACAATGGGGTAATAATGGGGAAGGAAGGAAGAGGAAACCTATTGGGGAGTGGGAGCAAAGAACTTGCCAGGCTAGACACAGCACGAAGGCCTCGCGTTGCCACCCACTGACTGCATTCTTTCACCACACTGACCTGTTGGAAAGTTGGCAGAGGTAGATGGTGCATCCCCCAAGGGCTGCCGGGCTTCCGTTTCTCCTTCCTGGCCCGGGGAGGCAATGGCCGTAACGGGTTGCCGACGGTACCCCGGACACTGTCGGCACACAATGTATGGCTGACTGAAAAGACGGGTGCAGGTAGGTTATTGGGACCCGTGTGAAAGCCAAAGTGAATTCAATCAGATTCAAGAGCCCCCACTGGACTGGGCCAGGAATTCCCACATCTTGTTTGCAACCGTGGCTTCTGAGAAACTCAAGCAGGGCATGAAGACAGCAAAGCTGAACTACAGGATAGTGAATGGCCCTGACTGTCTAATTGGGATGAAAACATCAGGTAATCCTGGCACGTTTTAATAGGCAGCACACAGGTGAGATGTGGCCGTGTGAGAGAGATTTCTTTCATGGCTTTTGTGGACCCTTTCAAGAGCAGAAGACTGAATAGCTCCTGCAGCAGCAACAAGCCCAAAGAGGAATTTTTTACATCACTGGCCTCCTTCATGTGCCATGTTGGGCAGAAGATTCCTGCATTGCAGAGGGTTGTACTAGATGACCCTTGTGGTCCCTTCCAACTCTACAATTCTATGATATAATGCTCAGGATGAGAAGCCAACATGCCCCTGAACATCCATTATGGGCAACAGTAGTGAGAGAAGAATACTACCTTCATGTCCTTCTTGTGAGCTTCCCCAAAAACCAGCAGGCCAACGATGCAATTCTTACCTTAGTACAGTCCAACCATGCTACAATAAAAAAAACTTTTGTGTGCGTGCACACGCACAGTTTCCTCCGTCAAGGCAAACAATAGATATCACAATTCAAGAGCAAATTCTAGGCAAACAAAGACACTGAAGGAGCCACCATGGCCTGAGAAGCGTCTCAAAGGCCAGATTCAAAATGTCATCCTGGTAGCAAGGCTGCAAGTCCCACAAAATCAATCCTATTGCCACAACCACGCTCACCTAATATCAGAGGATTCGCTATCTACGTCAGACAGCTCCAGCAGATCTTCAGAACTTCCTTCTTCATCCGAAAAGGACCTCCGCACCTTTGGCTGAAGCATGTCTTGAGTGATTTTGTTCCGGGCATCCATGCTTCGCACATCTTCTTCATTGCGACACTTATCTACAAACAGAGGAAAGTCGACTAGCCTTTTGACCAGGAGCTGGTCCTAAGCTACACAGGCTCCCATTCAAAAATGCATCCATGATCATTTCAGAGTCACAGAACTTTCAAGGAATCCAGGAAGTCCTCTAAGCTGGCTCTTAAAGTGGCTTTCCGTTCAAATGCATGGAAGAAGAAGAAGAGTTTGGATTTGATATCCCGCTTTATCACTACCCGAATGAGTCTCAAAGCGGCTAACAATCTCCTTTCCCTTCCTCTCCCACAGCAAACATCCTGTGAGCTGAGTGAGGCTGAGAGACTTCAGAGAAGTGTGACCAGCGCAAGGTCACCCAGCAGCTGCATTTGGAGGAGCGGGGACGCGAACCCGGTTCCCCAGATTACAAGACTACCACTCTTAACCACTACACCACCTGCCCCTTACATAGGAACAGAGGCACAGGCACGTGCAAGCCCTGTTCAGTCATTTGGTATGGGCGGGTACTGAATGCATGGAAGGGGTTTCGGAGAACGCGCCTGGCTGGCCCTGCATTCCAGCTTTTGATTCACATTCCACCACCAATCCGCACACCCATCTAGCCAACGCACAAATTGCAACAGACTCACCCATGTGTGCCTGTGCACTTGGGAAGGGCTCGATTCATGGAGATGCAATTTCTAGTGAAGGGAGCCCTATTTGAATACATCCACATGCGCACAGATTGATGCCAATTGTATTGGCTGAGGGGTATGGTTTGCATGCACGTCAGTGTCTGGGGGTGGGGCTAGCCAAATGTGTTCTCGGAAGCCCCTTGATGTGTTTGGTACCCTCAGCTACCAAATGACTGAATAAATTCACTGTGTGCAAGTGGAGTCGACTCACTATTTCAGAATGAATGCAGCTCATCTTGTTAGCCTGCACTTGATTGCAGCACTATAGTGTTTGCCTCCACCTCCAACTGTGGTCTCTGGTGTGACCAATTTTTAGATTGTGAGCTCCTTTGGGCAGGGACTTGTCCCCCCGCCCCTCTCTCTAAAGAGCCATGTAAATCTATCATCAGCATCAACAACAAATATCTGCGGACGGTTTTCCACTTGCCTGGGTGCTGGATGAGGTAAGCTTCCACCAAATTGTTCAAAATATGGTTTTTACAGATACGTTCCACCGGACAGCGGCAAGTTGGACAGAGAGAGGAGCGTTCCATCCATCCTGAGTAACACGCGGCACAGAAAGTGTGCATGCAGGGCTGCAAGCTGGAGAGAACAGGGGAAACCTTGATATGGAGAGGAGGAGGAGGAGGATGTGCCTACAATCAAATGTGATATTTCTCATTCTATGCAAACCATGGTTTGTAGGGCTTAGGAACAAGCCTCTTACTTTGTAACCCTGCTCCAGAGTTCCCTCAAGTCATCAAACTGTGGTTTGACCAAACTAGAAAATGATTCATTAAGCTGGTAATGTGCAGGCAGGAGGAAAGGGGAAGAGTAAGTGTGCAAATGCAAGGCTTCTTCCCAGCACACCAAACCGTTGTCTGCAGGATCAGAAATGCCGCACCTCAGGCTCTGTTTATACTCCTGCTGACTGTGTGTTCACTGATTTCGCAGTGCTGCATTTTTAATCTGTGTTCGCATGACCTTCTTCAAAATGCATAACATTACCCCATGGCTTTTATCCACATAATCAAGTGGCAGCAAAGGTTCTGGGCTTTTATGTCGGCTCCAAATGCGTTTGAACACTTATGGAAAAGGAATCAGTTCAACTATCCTGAAATCAGCGACAGCTTTGGCCACATCCACACCACACATTTAAAGCACCCCGTGCCACTTTAACAGCCACGGTTTCCCTCAAAGAATCCTGGGAATTGTAGTTTGTCAAAGCTGCTGCCTTCACAGAGCACCTGTAACAAACCTCAGTTCCAAGAATTCCCCGTGACTAATAAGACATAAGACTGCTTTAAATGTATGACGTGCATGGGTTAGAGGAGCTGGATCCTACTCAGTCTTGCCTCTCTGCGCTCTGCTGCTGGAGGCGTCTCTCTCCCCATCCTCAACCTTCTGTTTGGTGCTGAAACAGACAGCTCTGCTGCATTGCTCTCAGGGCAGCAGAACCATGGAATATGGTTGGCTGAGCGGGTACAGTGGCTCGGAATGCTCATTGGCTTGCGGAACTGATGCAACAAGGGATGGATGTGGGGAAGGTGTTCTGAAGGAGCCAAGAGGGGCTGCACTTTCAGGGGCAGGAGAGCAGGAAGAGAAGAGAGGAGAGCTAGGGAGGCCGCTCAGAAGACTGGGCTGTGAAAGGAAAGGGGATGTGGGGAGAGGAGGAACTCAAGGCAACAACCGGATGTTGGAATCACGGAGTTAAAAGAAGGGAGGAGCCAAGCACAAATTAGGGGCTGGGGCAAAACAAGAGACAGGGCCCAGAATCAAGAACAAAGGGGTGTGTTATTGGTAGGAAGGAAGCCCAAGGGGACAAACAACTGCTAGATCTAGACCCCCCAGCAAAGTGAGTTCTGTCCACTGTGAATTCTACAGTCGCCACAGCAATGTGACCTGGCAACCCTAAAGGGGTAACAAGAGCTGAACAGCAACGTGGGGGGGGGGGGATGAATCTCACATGACAAATTGAACCAACCCACCAAATATTGGGCTCTGTGCTCTTAAAGGGTAGGTAACATAGCTGCGGACCATGGTGATTGGAAGCAAGAGAACTCAATCCATCCTGGAGTACAGCAGGTTCCATTGCGATTGCCTGTGTGTGCTTCTCAGCGCTCACTCTCCCACCAGCAAACATTTTCTCACTGGGAGAAAAATAGCTCGGGGGGGGGGGAGCAAGTGTGCGCAGGGGGGAACAGTTCCCCACTATTTCCCCTTCTCACCTGCCCCAATGAGTTTTCAATCCCCCGCCACATGCATACTCTACACAGGAACTCAGCGGTGAACTGATTCAGAGACATTGGCCTACTGCCATTACTTCTGGTCTGGCCACAGACACCCGCCCCCCCCCCTTACCTGACACAGTCATGCAGCAGCTCTTGGCAGATGATGCAGGTGAGTGTTTCTTCCATTTTGTCTGGCTTCACATTTGGTGACTTTGTGTCTTCAGTCCCCGTTTTAATTGCACATACGTTTGGAGGAATCACCTGGAGATACGTGCTGGCATCGCCACCTGCAAGGGGCGGGAGGGGAACACACATCACAGCGCTGGCACACACAGTGGAACCCAAGACATTGTTGCTCAACAAACAAGACCCTGCCCGAGCCTTCCCTGCCCATTTTGAAGGGCAGGGGATCTTCCCAGGCTAGGCTGGGGAAACAGTGGCACCTTTCAGCTGGGTTGCAGAAGTTACACCAGGAAGGGGTTTCAGGGAAGGGAAGATAAACTGCATGGCAAGTTGTGGGGAAGTAAGGGACAGTAAGGAGTGCCCAAAGTTACTAGGATGGGAAACCAGCCAGATCTTGGACCACAGACCTCTTTAAAAAAGGAAGTCACTGTTATTTATTAACCTGCTTTTATTTTCTTCCTGGCAGGCTCCAGGGCTTCCTCTTCATCCCTGCTTTTCAACTTGGGCATAGCCGACACGGTTTTCTCTTTATCCCCTGAAGAAGTGTCAGAAGTTTCAGTATTTACATTTGGCTGCTTGTGTTTAAGTGACGCTTCTGGACCACATGGTTCTAAGCCAGGCAGGGAAGGTGCAGGAATAAAGGCGTACGGTTGCGACCCTGCCCCCAAAAGAAGAAAAAGAAAGAAAGGGAAGTGCAGCACATCAGCAGAAAGCATTGCTGACTAATTGAATGCAAAGCGTTCCTGTACACAAGGCGAGCAATGGCAACTACGGTATTTCTTGTTTGGCCAATATAGAGGAGTAGAACCACCCCCTATTATAAAAGATGTACTTGCTTGGTCTTGGGCAGGGGTTGGCAAGGTTTTACCTGCCTGGGCCAGTCAAGTCCCATGGAGATCTCCCTGTGGGTTGGACCACCTGAGTGTGCGCAGACGCGATTTCCGCTGCCACACCGCACCAGTTTAGCGCAGCGGGCGGGGACTCGCCAAGTGGGCGGCTCGGTTCGGGGGCAGCTCGTGGGCCAGTTAAACTGCCCCGTGGGCTGCAAGTTGCCAACCCCTGGTCTTGGGGTATACAGAAAACCTGAAAAATGGCACTTCTGGATTTCCACCCCCAATTTTTAAACAGCTTAGGCTTCAGCAGGAAGGCCTATGTGAAATGATCATTAGACACACGGGGCCAAGCGAATTGAGACTTTACCAGATGTTGAAGGATTATCCTGCTCTGTGGATATGGCCTCAGCGAGAGAGGTAGAAGCAGCATTAAAGAGGTTCGACGTGGAAGTGGATGGCTGTGGTTCGTCATAGCTAGCCTGGTTAGCCGACGGTGGCAATGCCGCTGAGGTCCCATCTTCGCTTTGTCTGGTACTTGAGGTATCTTTGGTCATATGGCACATGCTTTTGACAGTGGCTTCTGCAGAGGGGAAGGGAGCAAGGGGGAACGTTCTCTGGTGCTGCCTCAACAGCTCGAGAGGCTTAGAGAAATCTCTGTTAACGGGATTCTGCAGAGCCCGGCAGCTTTAAAAGGGATGCAGCTAATCTTCACTGCTCATTCTCCCCTGCCTCCGCTGGCCTTGAGCTAATCGCTTTTACTTACCTACTGGCTCATTAGCTGGGTCCTGTTTTGGATTCAAGGATTCATAAAGATATGCAACATCTGGAGAGAGAGAACATCAGTAAGGCCAATGGTTCCCAACAGGTAAGAAGATAAGCTGAGCTACCTGGAAAAGGCCAATGGCCCATCTAGTCCAGCATCCTGTTCTTAAACCAGTTGCCTATGGGAAGCCCTCAAAAAGGACTTGAGTGTAATAGCACTCTTGCCGCTTGCGATTGCCAGCAACTGGCATTCAAAGGCAAACTGTGTCCGGCAGCTAAGGTAGAACATAATCATCATGGGTAGTAGCCACTGAGAGCTTTATCCTCCACAAATTTGTCTAATGCACCATTTAAAGCCATCAAAGTGGGTGGCCATCACTACTTCCTGTGAGAGTTCCCTAGTTTAATTACAGGTTGTATGAAGAAGTGCTTCCTTTTTTCCTGTCCTGAATCTTCCAAGCAAAGATGGGTCTTCCTAAAGACAATTGCCTGGGGAAGTTCAGACGCTTCCCTGACACTCCCTCTTCCACTTCCAAAGTGCACCATTTCTGAGGCAGGAGGCAGTCTGCTACCCCAGTTTCCCTGCTTCCTCCCAACCAGCGCCATTGCAGCAGCTCTGTGCTTCACTTATCCTTAATGCTGGAATCTATCAAAAGCCAGTGTGTTCTAGTGGTGAGAGCACTGGCATAAGAGTGGGCAGGCCCAGGTGCAAATCCCTGCTCAGCCATGAAGCTCACTCCATGACCATAGGCCATTTTTACACACACACACACACACACACACACTCCCTCATCTACCTCACATGGTTGTGGTGAGGATGGCAAGACAACCCTCATGTTTTTGGCCATGTGGCCCACAGCTTTCCTTAATGGCTAGACTTTTGGCCCGGGACAAAAGAGTACAAATAGATGCATCCCATATAAGCTTCACTTGGAGAAATGCCAAATGTATTTTTCATTCATTTCTGCGCACACGCGCACACACTAACCCAGGGGTGAGGAACTCGTGGCCCTCCAGATTATGTTGGACTCCAACTCCCATCAGCCCCAGCCAGCAGGGGCAATGGTCAGGGGTGCCAGGAATTGTAAGCTGGCAACGTCAGAGGGTGGTATCGGCACAGGTTCCCTCTTCTTGCCAGTGATCTCCCACCCACCAGCCCCTGCACCAAAGAAGCCCATTAAAAAAAGAAGCAGCAGCAAAATCCCCTTACTGTTTTCTGGCTCATTTTTCCTGTAAATAACATAGATCACATCTCCAGTCTGTAATGGGTAAGTCTGCTTCTTCACCACCTTCTGTTTGTTAATAACCGTTCCATTAGTGCTATAAAATACAAACAAGGCCTTCTGGTGAGTAACAAGGGATTAGGAGTGGGGTGGGCAAGAGAGAGGAGGTCTACATATGTGGCTAACCAGAAACCTGAAAGGAACTCTGAGGGTCATGTAGTCCAACCCTGCTGCTCATTGCAGGAATCTTGCAACGACAACATCCCAGATGGTCATCGAAGCCTCTGCTTCCAGTGGGGAAGAGCCCACCACCTTCTGAGGAATCGCATTTAAACCAGACGTGGGTGGCGCTGTGGGTTAAACCACAGAGCCTAGGACTTGCCGATCAGAAGGTTGGCAGTTTCGAATCCCCGCAACGGGGTGAGCTCCCGTTGCTCGGTCCCTGCTCCTGCCCACCTAGCAGTTCGAAAGCACGTCAAAGTGCAAGTGGATAAATAGGTACCGCTCCGGTGGGAAGGTAAATGGTGTTTCTGTGCGCTGCTCTGGTTCACCAGAAGGGACTTAGTCATGCTGGCCACATGACCCGGAAGCTGTACACCGGCTCCCTCAGCCAATAAAGCGAGATGAGTGCCGCAACCCCAGAGTCGGCCACGACTGGACCTAATGGTCAGGGGTCCCTTTACCTTTACCTTTAGTCACAGCTAGCATTCAGACAGAGGACTGAGCAGGCCCAGAGCTCACCAGGTCACAATCCTCCCCACTATGGCAAGATGTACTTTATTTAAACTACTGCGATTGTTATATCATATACTGGGAAATGATATATAATGAATTGAAAAGGATGTTTAAAATAACGTTTGTAAAAAAAATTATAGGGACAGAACTACCTAAACTGTACAGAAACTTATTCAAGTATGCTACTACAGCGGCAAGAATGTTACTCGCCCAAAAATGAAAAGAAGCAAAGAAGAATGGATACAAAAACGTATGGAATATGCAGAAATGGCGAAACTTACCAGAAAAATAAGAAATCAAGATAAACTTTTTATGAAAGAATGGAAATGGTTTATTGAATATTTACAAATAAATTGTAAACAGATAAGAACATTGGCAATATTATTGTAATAACCTGCAGTTTCATAAGAATATATATTTAAAGAAGATGAATAAATGAACAAATTAAGTTAATTTGGATATGCAGAAGATATTAAAAATAAATTTAAGGAACCGCAGAAAGAGGGGGAAGGAAGTCAAGTTTTGAAAATGATTGTAAAATTATTGAAATGTATAAACTTGAAAAGCATAAATAATTTTTTAAAAAATAAACTACTGTGATTGTTTCTAATTTGGCACCTATACAGTATAAGTCAGCATATGTAAATCTGCGTCCTCTTTAGTCCTTTTTTTTAAACAATGTGCTTCCTCTTCTTTAGTTATGCCTAAACTGGCCACCCTAGCTGTAGTCAGCTAATATTATTACTATTTTATTTTTTTACTTGACAGGTCACGATTAACTTTTGGCGGGAATTTTATAACATTCCTATTCACCCAGGTATTTTGATGGTTGAAAGATAACTGTTCCTGGCAGCCTGGACAATTATTAAACTGCAAGAGCGACAGTTTTACACAATTTAGATGTTTTTAATTATTAAATTGCTTTTAAATGTTTTAATCTTAGTTTTAATTGTAATGTTCTATCGCCCAGGCTCTTTGGGGAAGAAGGGTAGGACGTCGTCCTCAGAACAGCAGCAGCTCTTGCACACAGTGATTAATATCAAAGTCTGGATGATAAAGCCTATTTAAGAAACACAAACGGCCGTTGCTGCCATCGGGTGGACAAAGCCTGTATTTACAAGACACTGAAGGGAATGTGCTAGAATTGGGTAAGAAGAGCTGCCCCTAAACAGCAAGGGGGAGACAGAGGGAACCTCACGAATAAAATTTCGCCCCCCAACAGCATCCACATGTTATCTTCCTCATCAAAATGCCATCCTGTATTATATCCATCCCCATTTAATATAGATTTATGCAAGAAACCTGACAAATAGAAACTGTAAATACAAATTAAAGTCTGGGGAAAATATAGGACGGCATTTTAATGAGGATAATATAATTACTGAACAAAAAACCCCACCCTTGCTCTGCTCCCTCCTCTTCCAGAGCTTTGATCTCAAAAAAAGCCTCATCCCCCTGGGGTCCCAGAGAGTCTGATACCAAGAACTGGGAAACACCCGAGTTAACACACTTTTTACTCAATGCACAATTTAACAAGATGCAAACTGGATTTTTCACTGGGGTGTGAAGAAGGGCAAGCAACTTTGCAAGACAAGAGAGACCCTGTTCATTTACAGTTGCTGATTAAGGGAAAAGTGGGGGAGGGAGTTGCCAAGTGAGGAAAACAGTTTGCTAGCCTTTCTGATGCAGAAAGCAGGAAACCTTTTCACCAAACTGGGAAACTGCAAAAAGGTGTATTGCTTTTGCATAAGGCTCCCAATGCTACTTTTATGGGCCTTCTAAAAGAAATTGTATCCCCTTCCCTCAAACATAAGAGACTCCCATTTCATGTGCAAAATAATCCGAGCACTTTTTTTTTTTACAGAAAGCATTTAGCGAACTGTTGACTTTCTGCAGTAAAAATGCAAATTAAAGCTGCTTCCTAAACAGAGAATTGGGGGTGAGGGAAGATGGAAGAGAAATATAGAACAGGTATCTCAGCTAAATTTGGAAACATTTCTCTTGCTTATTTTTTTTAACATTACAGCTTGATCCTATGCATGTTTGTTCAGAGATAAACGCCAGCTCCTTTAATGAAACTTCCTCCCAAGCAAACGTGTATGGGATAGTAGCTTTAATTAGGCTGCTCGACCCTGTTTTAGTAGTGCTGGAAAGCTAATCATTTAGCAACAAACAGAAAGGCATGGCCAATGGTCAGAGCTGTGGTCAAACAACATTGGGAGGGTCACAGGTTTCCCACCCTTGCTCTAAAGGGCACTGATGGATCTTTAAGATGGAAAGACAAGTGTAGGGGCTGTGTACCAGATCTGGGCAAAGCCTGGATCCCATGCCCATTCATGTAAATCTGGGCTTCAGCTGGATCGAGATCCGAGTGATTACACATGTGACTGTGACTATTCCATGCCCAATTCTTCTGGGCCACCCTACCTGTAAGTGTTCCAATTACTAATGCTCTCCCATCAAATCTTTTATTGTCCTGCCAGCAAAACAGATTGTACTTTGGCTGTAATAATGTTGGCAGCTTGCTAGCTACAAAAGCCTGTGAGACCTCTTACTCTCTTATGGCATGTTTTCATTTTTGCAAGATGATGTCGAAATAGTTGAACAGATTACTTCAAAGAGAGGCGATGTCACAAGTCGTGCACGCAGGAAAGTGTATGCAACCAGAGAGAGACACCCACACCCACACACAAAAAATCAACATCAGGGCAGTTATGGAAATCCCTTCTATTGGAACAGAACACTAGAAATAGTTAAAAGCTCTGACATCGCAAAAGGGGCGGGAATTAATACCACATGGTCTCAAGCTTGAGGCAACCTAAGGAGCAATCGAGTCATCTACCATCCAAGGAACCTTGGGAAATGCAACCTCAGTTAACAATTTTAAGGATTTGTTGATGGAATAATCACTAACCTCACAAAATTAGAGTTTCCAGGGGGAAAGCAGATAAAAAAAATAAAATCTGGTTTTAAGTGTGTGCAAGCTGGACAGGTCCCAAGAGAGAAGCGGGATGCAGAAAATATCAACATATTGCCTTGTAGTCAAATAAGGACAGCCAGGACACTCCCGTGTGAACACTTAACCAGAACATTTTACTCAACAGAACCAGGCAGGGAAAGCAGAAAGGGTTCAGGCGAAACTGACCTGGTATCCTCCAGTGATACTTGACCAGATTCTTCATCCACCCTTATTTTACAGTGATCTCCAGACACCAGTTTGTTGCCAGGAAAGGACAGGTCGCAACCTTTGTGACAAAAATGATAGTGTCTTTAGATTTGCAGATATTCCTGGAAGAATTCGGCCTTACTGAGGCCATCACAATTTCTGCGATGCTCACACACACGGTATGAGAAGGCTGACCATCCCCTTTTATCGGGACAACTTTGTGCTCCTCAGGGATATACGGTTTCTGCATATGAAATTTCTATTTTGCTATCACGGACACTAATAATTTGATAGCCCACCCTCCACAAATCTGTGACATCCGTTTTCAAAACCAGGACAAGTTTTTCATGTATCACCAGAATTCCAGGATAGCCAATCACAGCTTTCTCCAGCCACATACCCTCCATCCTATGGCTTATTGGCAATGCTGGATGGGCTGACGGGAACTGTAGTCTAACTACATCCCATCCCCCATCCCATCACCCCATTCCCCCCCCAAAAAAACCTTCAGCCCTACATATCTAAGTCTGTCATCATAAGAGTACTTACCATGAAATAATTTCCAGAAGGATAGCAGTGTGTAAGGCTGTTGCAGCAAAAACTATGAAAAGTCTTCTGGCATGTTAAAGGCTAGCAAATTTATTATGGCATGAGCTAGTCCATGAAAGTGAAGCAGCACAGGTGAGGTTCCCACTTCCTGAACATAGCAGGCCACTGGCGATTATTGAGAGGGGAGAGTCAAGGCATGGAGTGCTCAGTGCTGTGTGGCAAAGCCAATCCAGTGCTTCTGCTGCGATGCACAGTGCCATGCTTTTCTGTCTCAGTAAGTGCCAGCTTACCATTTTATTGAGAAGCCAGGAGAGCAACGGAGTCCCACCCATGCCACCTCACTGGTCACTGCTGAGCTCATTCTATAATAAATGTTTCAGGCTCTAAGGTACCACAACACTCTTTTGACCATGAGATAAGTCCCACTACATGTCTGAGGACTTATGCCAAGCAAATATGTGATCAATCAGGCTCTGAAAGGTGGCAATCTTCCCATCAAAGAACATACATCATGCAAAGGTCACATGCACACCACACATTTAAAGCACATGGCTTCCCCCAAAGAATCCCAAGAACTGTAGTTTTATTAAGGGTGCTGGGAAGTTAAGTAGCTATGGTGGGGTAAAATACAATTTCCACACTACAATTCATTTTGGGGGGGGGGGGAGCCATGTGCTTTAATGTACACGTTATTTGGATGCGTTCACAAGTTAATACTCTAGATTTTATGTTTAATACATGATCATAGTTTCTATATTTGTATTCATGGTTTCATGTATTTGCATTTGTATATCATGTCTGTTTCTTCTCTAACATATATTGAAAGCAGCTTATTAAAAAAGGAAACATTTCCTAAACATTTCCTAACAGCATCTTACAGAGAAAGACTTTATTAATTATATCAATGAAAGAGCACATGTGGAAAGATTAAGTCAGAACTTGTATCCACATCAACAATTTTGACAGTTCATATAATGATTTACTATTCTCTCATACAAGCTGGAGGGTTTAGTACAACATGTGCCTAACAACTACTTAGGCTGCAATTCTTTATACGCAATTACCTGGGATTATGTCTAATGGGGCCTACTTCTGAAGCAACGTGTATCAGATTGCATGGTAAGCATCTTTCAACTTTTTATATAAAAAAATTGAAACGAAAACAATGTTCTGAAATGTAGGTGTCTTGCAAAAGCAATCAAATATTGCAGCTGTGAATCAAAGAAAAATTGAGTATTATGTCAACTTAGAAAAAATGTATTACCCATGTTCCTTGACTCATAAATTAGTATTCTTGAGATAGTAAAACATGGAGTCCTAGCGTATTTTCAAAAACATAAAAAGCAAAACAGCTTAGTGTACAAAACAGGAAGCAAGATAAAAACAGGCCCTTCAAAGTAAAGCTGTAAGTCTGTTGATTGTTGATTATTAACAAGAAACTAAGAAAGCCTTCTCAGCTCACCCTAAGAGAATACCAACACAGAGACACAAAAATCCTCAGCTGTGGGTTCCCTGTGGCTGGGTAGAAAACTATAAACAAGGGATTGAACAGACAGCTTCTGCATAACTCTCTACCATCTTATAGCCCACACATCCACTGCACGACTATTTCTGGAACCATACCTTTTTTCCTCCCAATTGTCAACTCTTTCTTCAGCAACAAGAGGTGAGGCTCGGCTTCCTCAGCCCCCAAGCGGATCAGCTTTCCCCAAGGCTTCCGCTGCCTTTGCTGCTGTATTTGTCCTCTGACTTCCGAGTGCTCCATCTGGATTCACATCTGTAGAGTTTGGGACGGAAAGAAAAGTTAAGCAGCCGGGTGGGGGAAGTTTCATTTTAGCTCCAACTAGCAGCTTCTTGCAATTAAGTTGTTTTTCTGGGGGGGTGCGGGGTTGGGGAGAAAAGCAGCATGCGAGTTACAATGAGACAAAACAAGAAACGAACTCCTGAGGAAGCACGTGTTGTAGGTTTGCAGTAAAATCTGATAAAATAATTCTTTTCAGGGGAGGGGAGGGAGCAGCTCTGTAGAGGTGCATTTTCACTCCCAGCTGCTTCCCCACCTTCTGAGCAGAAAGTCAATGGGGGCTTAACCCCCACCCAAAAAAAAACTGTTTAGAATCTCAGCTTTAACCCTGTAAATTCCTCCCTAGCGTCTCCTTTGGGCGGTGGGTGGTTCTTCCTCCTTTTCAGTTTCCTCAGTTGCTCAACTCCTCCGCCTCTGTTGCGTTTCTAAGTATCTTTTTAAAACAACCTCCCTTTAGGCTTAGAAATTGGGGGAGGGGGTTGTGTGTATGTGTGGGAGAAAAGCTTTTTTTTAAAAAAAGGGTGGGGAGGAAAACGGGGAAGAGGAAGAAGAAATAATAATAGGGGCCTGTGCCAAATACCTCCCCCTTGGCGGCATCCAGGCTCCTCCAGAGGGCCTCTGCGAGGTCTGGGGGGAGAGCTGAGCCCGTGAGGGGAAGGGGGGGCCTTTACAAGGCGAAGGGGGGGCTTTACAAGACTGGAGGAACTCTTGCACAGCGCCCCATATTCACAGCGCCAGGATCCCACCTCCCTTCGCTCCCCCACCGCCCAGGCCGGGAGGGAGAGCAATGGGGAGAAGAGAGCCCCACTCGGCCCCCTCTCCTTCCTGTCCCCTTCCACCCCCTGCCCCAGCCCCACAGGCTGAGCTCCCAACCCCCCCCCCGGCAGCACCAGCCCCACCAGCCTCTTACGCCCGAGTCCTGCCGCTGAGGCTGCTGCTGTCAACAGACATTGCCAGCCCTCAGCTGATCAGGCCCTGGGCGGAGCTTGCCAGGCCTCTTCTGGCCAGCCATTGGCCGGTCTAGGTTCGAGCGTCACCATAGAGAGGGGTGCGGGGGAGGCCGGGAGAGAGGAAAGGAGAAAGGGGACCGGAAGGAAGAGGGCGGCGGCGCTATCTATGGCACGGGCGGCAGCTAGAGAGTCGCTCGCTGTGCTTACCATAGAGTCCTTGCCTCCTATTATTATTATTATTATTATTATTATTATTATTATTATTATTATTATTTATTTGCCCTTTTCACTGACAGGCACTCAATGCAGCTTACTAGAAACAGGAAATAATTATTAAAAAACAATCAAGGCCCATAAAGTCTGTTTTGAAAATCATTATCTATATCTATATCTATAAATCATACACGCATCCCTCTGTGTAGGATTGATACACAAGGCTAGTTTAGGGTTTAAATAGAGGTTTTGCCAATAGAAAGAAGCTGCAGCTATACACCTCCCCACAGATAATTGGGTGGGATTGATGGCCGCTGTGAAATACACAAACACACTATTAATACAAACAATTAAAAACAACAGCAACAATTGAATCTGAGAAGTAAATTAAAATCTGCTAAAACAATGCAATATACATATGACATAGGTAAAGGTAAAGGTACCCCTGCCCGTACGGGCTAGTCTTGCCAGACTCTAGGGTTGTGCGCCCATCTCACTCTACAGGCCATGGGCCAGCGCTGTCCGGAGACACTTCCGGGTCACGTGGCCAGCGTGACATCGCTGCTCTGGCGAGCCAGAGCCGCACACGGAAACGCCGTTTACCTTCCCGCTTGTAAGCGGTCCCTATTTATCTACTTGCACCCGGGGGTGCTTTCGAACTGCTAGGTTGGCAGGCGCTGGGACCGAACGACGGGAGCGCACCCCGCCGCGGGGATTCGAACCGCCGACCTTTCGATCGGCAAGCCCTAGGCGCTGAGGCTTTTACCCACAGCGCCACCCGCGTCCCCCCATACATATGACATATGACTGGGTAATTAAACACAACTGGGGGGCCCAAAAAGAGTACATGGTTGCTGATATAGGTCTGGGGAATCTTCTTCCAAGTGTCATGATTAAGATGCATCTTGTATCTTTAAACTTTTTTTTTAAAGTTGGACTCTGCAATATGCAGAAACACTAGGGCCAATTTCTGTATTTGGCAAGCTAATAAGTTAATGTTTACTAGTGACATTTATGCTTAGTATATATTCACATAAAACTGCCAGAGGCAAAGGTGGGCAGAGCAATCAATGCAGATTTCACCCTCCTACAGTAGGTTAGTTTCTGTACCAACACTCGAGGTCAAGACCTCGAGTAAAGGAATTTCAAAGGAATTTCTAATTTTGTAGCGCTGCATTACAATTCATTAAAATGTTCAATGCAAGTAATTTAGGTCAATCCTGTCCCACTGCAATTGTCAATTTAATCATAACTGCTAAAGCTGATTATCGGGTATCTGGAGAAGTGGACTCCAGTGCTTTGGGCAGTGCAGAAGTGGTCCAGCTTCCACTCTAGCCAGTCCCAGCCAGCATAGCCAATGCTGGCTGCGTGGACGCTATAATCTTAAAGCACTTGCTTCCCTCAAAGAATTCTGGTTGCTGCCTTATTAATGGTTGAAGGCAATTGTAACTCTGCGGGGTAAACTAAAGTGCCCAGAATTCTCTGAAGGAAAGAATGTATTATGAATGTGCTTTAAATGTATAGTATATACAGAGCCCTAGTCCAACCACATCTGGAGGGCCAGAGGTTTCCCACCCTTCATTTAAGGTGCCATAATACTGCAATCTTAGCCTTACTACCTGGGAGTAAACCCCACTGAATTCAATAGGATTTGCTTCTGAGTAGCTATGGTTATGATTGTGATGTAACACAGCTATCCTTCTGGAAACTCTGTAAATCTCTGTAACTGTGTTATGTGCTATATACACCTGAATGTCTCATACAGAATGAAAAAAGCCTCCAGTTATTTATCACAGTTACGTATCACCGTTCTGTCATAGCACCTAAGGCAATTTTAAAATACTAAAACAAATGAGGAAAAATGTAAAGTTTGGCCATGTGAGAGGGAGGGGACAGTCTGACTAGAGTGCATGATTATTAGTCACATAGATTTTAAAATGTATTTTGTAACTGATATATTTTATGTATGAGGGCTAATGTGGTGCAGTGGTTAGAGTGTTGGACTAGGATCTTGGAGACCAGGTTCAAATCCCCACTCAGCCATGAAGTTGACTGGGTGACCATGGGCCAGTCAGCATTTCTCAGCCTGTAGTGGAAATGCTGAAGAATTGTAATTGAGGAGGTGTGGGTAGCATTGAAAAAGGGACACGGGTGGCACTGGGGTCTAAACCACAGAGCCTAGGGCTTGCCGATCGGAAGGTCGGCGGTTCGAATCCCCACAACTTGGTGAGCTCCTGTTGTTTGGTCCCAGCTCCTGCCAACCTAGCAGTTTGAAAGCATGTCAAAGTGCAAGTAGATACCGCTGCGACGGGAAGGTAAACGGCATTTCCGTGCGCTGCTCTGGTTTCGCCAGAAGCGGCTTAGTCATGCTGGCCACATGACCCGGAAAAACTGTCTGCGGACAAACGTCAGCTCCCTCGGCCAGTAAAGCAAGATGAGCGCCGCAACCTCAGAGTCGTTCACAGCTGGACTAAACTTTCAGGGGTCCTTTACCTTTTAGGTAGCATTGTGCAATTAACCCTTCATTTAATACAGACTTAAGTGCTTGCATCTGCACTCCTATTCTTCAAGATGGCCCAGTTGTGGGGTGATTGCTTTGCAGCCAAGTGACTGTAGTACCAATCAAGCCAGGTGGAAGTAGCTGAGTCATTTAGCCTCATACCTGGAACAGATAAAAACCATAGGGCTTCAGCCAGGAAGGGGAAGGGGCTTAGAGATAAAACCAATAATTGTTTAAAATGGGGAAAATCATTAGAAAACAAACATTAAAAGAATTAAAACTGTATGCATATAGAAAGTCTGTATTATAAATACAAATAAGTACAATAAAAACAGCTACAGCTCTTTGAGCCAGCTGAAGTTCCTGAGTACTTTCAGAGGCAGCCCCATGTAGAGTGCATTACAGAAATCGGCTTAACAAAAACATTTATAGCACAATCTGAACCATGTTTTAACCAGAAATAAGTATCAATGAATTTGATGGGGTTAGACTAGCCGGTTTAGTACGTCCCTCTTCATTTTTATCTCTACGTCTGCTCCATGCACAAAGAGGCATGTATTAGAAATCAAATACGGTACATCTCTTCCGGTTCTCGAATGCAGCTGCTGCGAGTCTCCTCCATTGGCGGGGCAAGGGAATAATATGACAGGAGTTAAAGAAGCCAAATCCCATGGGGATTTTCTGCTGTTGCTTTGCGACACTCTCATTGGCTGCAGAGTAATTGAATTCAGGCTGTTGAGAGTGGTTTTCTTTTATAAACTTTTACAAAGACAAGACTTCTTTCTTTCTTTCTTTTTTACCCACTGCTCCTGTCTCTTCTTGGTCCAAGTAAATTGTTAGTCAATTGACAGAATTTTTGTTTTTGTTTTATTCTAAGTACTTAAAAAAAATCCTGCCTTTTGGCCCACCAAATGGTCCTCCAAGGCAATTTTAAATAGCGTTTTTAATTCTATTTCAATGTTGTTTTTATTACTGTTTTACGATGTATTTTAATTTTTTGTCGCTTGGTGAACTGCCTATAGAACTCTTGTTCTTTTGTGTCTATTTAAATGTTAGAAATAAAATGAAAATAAACTAAGGCCCTAATAAAATTCAAAATGCAACAGAAGAACAAAAGCAGAGAGCCGAAGTTTATATACTCAGCTAGCAAATGAAAACAGACATAGCAAGGGAGATCAAGAAACCAAATAACCTTTTAGATTTGCTAGAAAACAGTTACTTCGTTGGTGGCAGATGTTATTTTTGTCATTTAATCAGAGTTCGTATTTGCTCATTATCAGCCCAGTGAGAAAGGAGGTAAAGTGTATAATAACCGGTGATAAAAGACCACACAGACTCAAGATTTTAACTGTAAACCGTTTAAAAAGCCTTAGATAGAAGATAACGATATTATTAAATGTGAAAATAAACAGCAATATTGTACCTTTAGAAAACAATATGGATTAATAATGGCATAAAAATAAAAGCTTGTTGTTTCCTCTGCTAACAGACTATTTCAGCCCCTTCTTTCTATTTTGATACAAACTAAAATCTTTTTAAGTCTCTAGTTCCTTCTTATTTGGGTGTCAGTCGCTTTCATGAGCAAGGAAGAATCAGCTCATTTAGTCTGGAGCCAAGGGCTCCCTTCCTGTCACCTTGTCCTTTATTTTTTCTCTTTTGGGAGGCTGGGCCCATCATCCTTTAGTGATGTTCTGAGCATTGGGTTGCATGTGTGTGTGTGTTTTGTGTGTGTGGTCACAACTAGTAAATACACCGCTGTGGCCATTAAAAAGAAAACTGGCCGTAATTCAGGATGCTATATGGCTTCCACGTGCTGGAAGATTTCATATTAAAACCCCAGGAGGCCAAAAAGAAAATTGAAAATCTGAAAATGTTGGTTGACGGGGGGCTTTTTCACATTTAATCACAAAGAATCTTGAGCTTTGTAGAGCTCTGGGGATTTGGGGGGTGGGGGGTGGAGAAGGACATTAGAACATTGAGTTTGAAAACAGCTTTATGCAAACGAATATTAGGTTTGTGGCTAACCATATCCTAAATGTGGAGGAAATGATTTAATTGCTTCCATGTTAAGGGATTAAGGATCTCTTGGGGAAGACAACAAACAGTTTGAACTGTACATAGCAAGCAGGTTAGAAGACAAACCACATTGCTCTTACAAATAAGCAGATTGGGCATGTGTTGGGTGCGCACTATGACT